CTCCCAATTAGGTTAGGTTCACAGAGTAAGTTGCCATAGTAACTGTCTTTAGATTACCTCTCTTTTTGAAACTGATTTAACTTACCCCGCTTTCACGGGTTTAAGTTACCTCCGTTTCTGAAACCAAAAACTCCGAGTTGCCCTCATTTCGGGGTTAACAAACTCTGAGTTTCGACAAAACCTCCTTCTTGAAACTGGCCCCTGATCTGTCAGAGAACCTGGATGTGGTTAGTAACAGGGATGTGCTTCCTGTAAACAAACGGATGTTGGCGTGTCAGAATGTGAATTTGTCTGCGGCACATCTTTGCATTGCACCTTTCTCACCCACACGCCACCTTAGCCAGCATTCAAGCCAGTTTGGATCGATTCCTCCCTCGGTCCTGTGTCGCCACGTCTCATTGACATCATTGCCCAGAAGTTCGGCTCTTTACAGGACATAGCATGAAGATCCATCCATCATGTCCTGTTATTTGTTTGATTGATAGAAACATTTGGGGCTGCCACTGCTAACGTTTGTGTTCATCTTACTGTTAATTTTGACATGTGAACACAGTGCAAACCACAACAGTAAATGTGTTAAAACTAACTTTGTACTCAGGGCCACAAGTTAATATTAATAATATAACCGTGTTCTTTGATGATGGTGCAAATTCCCCAAGAAAGTAGCTGTTTTTAAAAAGACCAAATCCAAGTGAGATGCCGTAAACAGCCGTGTCTGTCTGGTTGGTAAAGCCGTCGATTCTTTTATGTAACAGATTTGTTGTTTATTCTGTAAATTGTTAGAAATCACTGAGTCCAAGTTGACATTTTGTTTTGTTTGTCCAACAGCGGAGAATCCAGAATTATTTGAGTAATAGTTTCATCACTGAATGTCTTATAATATTTAGTTACTCGCTGCACATGTTGGCATGTTTCATCCACCTCTCTTCTTTCTTTATATTAAATGTTAACTATCACAACCGTCTGTAAATAGATTTGAATTTGAACATTGTTTACTTATGATCTTACATTTGCTCTGCTTTTGCTCCTCCTGTTTTGCCTTTATGGAGCAAAGCCCAGGACACATCGTTTGCCATATAAATGAAGCAGAGTGTGACTCAGACCTAATGCAATGAAACACTGGTGCAGACCGCTCAGCATAAGGTCACTGAGGGTGTTTGGTTTTGTAGAAACGAGAATTTTCCCAGCGACAGAGGCATGATGGGAGCCCCTCTGAGTCTGTGTGTGTTTAGTGCACTGCTGTTTCCTGTCAGCTGACCTACTGCCCCGTCGACCTCGAGGTTTTCTCTCTCGCTCCCTCTCTCTGTTTGCTAGTTTTGCTATCTCTGTTTGATCGGTGATTAATGATCCTCTGGACTCGGTGAACTCACATCCACCATATGTAAATACACCTGTGGTGCTCTACACGTGTGACTCTGGACGACAGGTGACGATCAGGTGAGCACACAGTAAGCTGCAGCTGCTGTGGCCTCAATGAATGAACGTGCTTGGAGATAAAATCCCGCCCTTGCAGAACCTGCCTGCTGTGTTTCCACGGTGACCCAGTGACACTCGGTCTATGGGGACACTGCACACAGCAGCTGCCCACAGATTTACCAAAATATTGACAGATCCCGTCTAAGGAACAGGACTGGAGCGTACAGTGTGACCACTGCTCTGAATGCGAGACACATTACTGACGCTCTTTTACTTTCATCATTGTGAGGAGCGCTGGGTCGGGTCTTATGTATTTATTAAGCGGAGCGACAGAGAAAACCGCTCTGAGAGGAACAATGACTTTTCCTTACAGATGCTTATTCAACATTTTCCACAGGAAGTGTTTTATTGGCTCCTCTCAGCCGCGTCATTGTCCCCACTGGCATCTTGTTCTTCCTCTTAAACATTTTTTCAGATTTCTTTGAAAGCTCTCACACCTGTGTGATCTGACAGATGAATGTAGATCACACAGCTCATTGTTCACTGTGTTCAGTCTCTGTCACACCTGTATACAGAACCATGTATTGTGTTCCTCATCTTCTCTTTCACCTCTACTGACTTTTATTCCCAGTCCACTCATGTACCAGCACACAGCAGGGATGCACATTTGTTTCTCTGGGGCCAACGGCGCAACAGCTAACAGTTAGCTATTGTGAAACAAAATGTGCTGTCAGGTGCAAACAACAACATAAGGTGTGTACACAGAAGTCAAAACAACTGCAAACACAGCACAAGACAAAGCAGCACATGTATGACACCATAACAAGCGGGTGCTGCGGTTGTGTTTTCTCCTGTAATCTCTTAGTATTGGACATTTGAGTCATCTTGTCCCTCCTTTCTCTTCTCTTTTGACTCCCTCACCCACTTTTTTAGAATTAATAATCGCTGAATTGTTTGCCAGTGTTGTCTGTCGTGCCAAAAAGTACTTACAGCTAGTACTTTGTTACAGAAAGTGGTTTTCGGCCTCAGATTACTTTCATTTCAGTCTTGTGGGTTATATTTTAAAGGGCCAGTATTACCAGTAAAATATAGTCTCACAGTCTTGTAAACCAGTAAAACAGACCAGATGGGTCGTAATGTTTAAAATATAACACAGAAGCGTGATATACGGTTAATCTGAGGCAGGAAGCCCCCATACTAGCTATAATCACCTTTAGTCAAGGAGAATACTTCGATTGAATGCTCATACTGCAGTAGGTTCTGAAATCAGTACAACCCAGCAGGACCTGTCAGCTGGTGGAGCTGATGTGTGCCCCCTGCTGGTGTCTTTCTACAACTACATCGCTGCCTCCACGTATTCATGTAGACACTGTTGATGTGGACAGTAACTAACATGTAACTGTGTGCGTCCCTCAGCTCAAGGCTGAGGTGAGGTTTTCTTGTCACTCCCTCCATGTGCAGTGCTTGGTCTTCAGGGGAACAGAGTACTGTTGTTTTAGTGCAGTCAGGGCTCCTGTATACAAACAGTGGAGGGTGTGTCGGCAACATGTTGCTGTTCTAACAGCTTATAGACAGATGAGGTAAGACTGCTGGAAACCTGTGACTGTATGGAGGTGAATTTGTACACGACACACGTCCTTGCTTTGCACATGCTTTTTATTTTAAGCTATACACCTCCTTTAATAGAAAAGCCGGCTGCTAACATGATAGAGTATCTGTCAGCCAGTAGCATGCTAATAGTAACTGAGGCTACAGGCACGGTCCACCTGTGTGTGTCCACAAACATCAGCTGACAGCTCAGGTTCAAGACGCCTCCTCACACAGTGAACACTAGCATCAGAAGCTAAAGGTGTCGTGCCATTTACTGCTGCACACGTTCATAGTCCTGCTGTGATCGATCAGACTCGCAGAGACTCTGTGCACCTGTTTCATTTGCTTTCAGGCAAATGATAAAGGCTGTGACACATGTTCAGTGCTCAGGCTGCTTCTCTGTCAGTGGCCCCCAGACTGAAACTGAAACGCAGTCAGACACAGCTGAGCAGTGCTGATGAAGCAGCCTTAAACACACAGTCACAGTGTGTGAGCGGTCAGACCTCAGACCTGGACTCTGGACCTGTCCACAGTCGGCAGCCGCCGGCTGGTTCTGCCTGGATCTCCACATCATCACCATCCTACACTCTGGACTTCTGTGATCCCTGTAGTTGTAGGCACAGAGATGTTTCATTTCTGCTGCTCAGAAACCTGTCTGTTAAGCTGAGTTAAAGTGGACTGAAGGAAACGTGAGGGTGTGTTCTTGGTGTTTTGACCCCGCTGTGTCTGTGTTGGTGTGTTTACAGAATCACTGCCACTATCAGGGCTTCGTTCAGGACATGGAGGGTTCTTCTGTTGCCATGAGCATCTGCAGCGGCCTCAGGTAACACACAGTTTCCATCTGGAAATGGCAGATAATACCATGGGTAGCGAACACACAGGTTTCTTTTAAGCACTGTACATACTGTGTAGCTAGTGAGTTTCCCACCGGGGTTTGTTAAAGTCTGAAGGTTCTAGTGTGTTTGGTTGATTCATTTGATTTTTGAAAAGAACTGAAGTTATCAAACACAAGTGCAAGGTTTGTCTCTTCACAGTGTGAAGTAGCAGAACGTGGCATTACTCGGAAAAATCAGAATCTAAGGTGACAAAAATAATACAAATGAGACTCACCCATATATCAGCAGGTACCAAGCAGTGTCACAGACTGGCTTCATAAACAGGAAGGTATTACCATAATAAACACACTGTGTGAGTGACATAAACCCTGACTGAGGCCCCGCCTCCTGAAAACAGTGTTGACCTTTATTAATAGTTCACATTATGTGTCTGCGTCAAACAGAGCCAGTTGTTATGTTCTGTTTCTCCTCTGGGTTCAAACATGTACACACACACACACACACACACACTGTACCCACACTGTACACTTTATACACCCTGTACACACACTGTACACACACTGTAAACACTGTACACACTCTATACACACTGTACACACTCTCCTCCCAGGAACAGTTATTTTCCTATTTTTATTTTGCTCACAGATGGTTCCGTCTGTCTCCTCAGACTGCGGTGGGCTTCACACACTCATGCAGGATTAATTAACAGTTTGACTTCATTTATCATTGTAGGACTGAAGTCAAACACACGCCCACACACTCAGATTTGTAAGGATCTTTTCTTCACAGATGGCAGTAACCACCATGTTGTAATTACTGCAAGCAGCGAAGGGTTCCAGATGGTTTCCATTACAGTTGGTATAGTGGGCTGTTGTAGGCCTGTTGATGTTGCTTCAGCTCCGTCCACGTCCCAGCTGAAGTACAACAAAAATGAAAACCAAAACTATCTGACTGGACAGGTGCTGTTACAGTGAAAGGTGGAAATGAAAGCAAAACATCTGATGAAAGACTTTATTTGGTCCTGAAAGTGTGGTTTTGTAATTCGGGTGAACTGAGCCTTTAAGTCTCAGGTTGAGCTCCTTTAACCTGCAGGAGTTGGTCTTGGCTGTGGCGTGAAGACGTGATGTCTCCCTCTGACTGAAAAACAATGTCTCTCTCTTCCTTCAGAGGAGTGATACATCTCACCGATGTCAGTTACGGTATCGAGCCGTTAGACTCCGCCCCCGACCAACACTTGGTGTATCGGCTACAGGATGTGACATCACAGCCCCGGGGGTGTGGAACGCCACATGGCGAGCATGACCACAGCAATGGCACAGAGCGTGCTCAGTATGAACCAGAGGCAGTCCAGCACAGACCGCACAGCAGGGTGAGTTCAAGTGCATGTAACACTTTATTACAGGTTATTCATTCATAAAATCATGGAGCCTCTTTGCGTTGCAGGTGAAGCGAGCTGTTCTCTATCAGACTCACTACGTGGAGCTGCTGGTGGTGGTCGATAACGACAGGGTGAGACGCACACTGCACATGAAGGCTCACATCGTTGATGTTAATGTGTGTTGGCCCTGTTGCATAAGCAAATCTCAAACGTCTGAACACAACTCGGAAACTAGGGCACATGTCAACTCAATGACATAAATGTGGAAGGTAACAACAGAGACGAACCTGTGTGTGTCCAAACATGTACACAAGACGCCAATCACACAATAACACTAAAGAGAGACGGCGATCACACAAGAACAACACTAAAGAGAGATGGCGATCACACAATAACAACACTAATGAGAGATGGCAATCACACAATAACACTAAAGAGAGACGGCAATCACACAATAACACTAAAGAGAGACGGCAATCACACAATAACAACACTAAAGAGAGACGGCGATCACACAATAACACTAATGAGAGACGGCGATCACACAATAACAACACTAAAGAAAGACGGCGATCACACAATAACAACACTAATGAGAGACGGCGATCACACAATAACAACACTAAAGAGAGACGGCGATCACACAATAACTACAGTAAAGAGAGACGCCGATCACACAATAATGACACTGAACAGCCTCTTATCTCTTCTTTCCTTCAGTATAATTACATGAACAGGAATGAGACAGCAGTGAGGGAGGAGATGGTTCATCTGGCCAACCTCGTAGACAGTGTGAGTAAACACACACTAACGGGTTTCTACAAATGGTCCTGAATAGTTCTCTGCAGGGCTGAAATAAAGTGTGTACAAATGTTCCTTTAGTGTTGTTATCTTGATATCAGGGTGGAATGTTTGTCATAAAATAAAGTTTCTAAATGTTTTGGATTGTAAAAAACACCCAGAGTCAAATGTGTGATAAAGCCTAAAAATTATAAAGTTTTGAGGTGTGTGTGTTCAGATGTACATTCAGTTGAACGTTCGTGTGGTCCTGGTTGGTCTGGAGATCTGGACTCAGCAGAACCCGATCAGCACCGAAGGAGGAGCCGGGGAAGTGCTGAGCCGGTTCACCCAGTGGAGAGAGAAGGAGCTGGTCCCCCGCCGTCGCCACGACTCAGCACAGCTCATCCTGTTAGTGGATACACACACGTCCGGCACAGCTCACGTCTAAACACCAAAACACACACACACACACACATACTTGTGTCTGATGATAGTGATGATGATGATGTCTGCAGGAAGAAGAGTTTTGGAGGAACAGCAGGGATGGCCTTCGTTTCTACCGTCTGCTCCAGAAGTCATGGAGGAGGGATCAATGCGGTGCGCTGAGCACTTTTATCCACCAGTGAAGAAGAAAACCACTTCACTGTCTGGTCACTAACTGATGCTGCGTTCAGGTTACATGGGAAGGTTGGTAAATATAATGCTCTCTCTCTCTCATTCAGTTCACCAACAACAATGTTCCCTCATTTGCGTCCATCGTGGCTCACGAACTTGGTCACAACCTTGGAATGAACCACGACGACGGGCGCTCCTGCACCTGCCCTGACCCCGCCTGCATCATGAACTCTGGAGCCACGTAAGAAACACACACACACGGATATACAGTATACACTCTTATACTGTTTATACACAAACATGCATTTATATTTAACAGCTCCTCGTCCTACACATTTTCTCTGTCCTCCTCTTCATCTGTTCTCTGTCATCTCCTTCTTTTTAATCTCGTCTTTATTTTCCACCTCCTCTGTCTCTCTCTCCTCTTCTCCACTTCCTCTCTTCGTTTCCTCCTCTTCTCCTCCTCTGCTCTGCAGCGGATCCAGAAACTTCAGCAGCTGTAGCTCTGATGATTTTGAGAAGATGATCTTGTTGATGGGGGGAACGTGTCTCCTGAACGTCCCACGGCCTGATGAGGCCTACAGCGCCCCCTACTGTGGGAACCGACTGGTGGACATGGGAGAGGAGTGTGACTGTGGATCACAGAAGGTTTGTGGGATTGTTTTTCAGATTAGACATCAGGCTTCACCTGGGAAAACCATGAGGAATCATCTTATATCCAGTCTAACCACTGAGCATCATGGCTCTGAAAATCTAAAAAAACAATCAGTATCAATATCAGTGAGTGGTCAGAAAAATATTACTAAATATACTTTAGTAATATTTTTTATAGTATTAACATAACGGCAGAAAATTTTTTGAGTAATATTCCTAAAAATTGCCTGGGATTGGGGGGGTGGGGGTCAGGTCTGCTGAGAACCACATTAGAACCACGTGTGTGTGTGTGTGTGTGTGTGTGTGTGTGTGTGTGTGTGCGTGTGCGTGCGTGTGCGTGTGTGTGCGCACACGTGTCCGTGTGCAGGAGTGTGAGAAGGACCCGTGCTGTGAGTACCAGACCTGTCAACTGAAGCCTGGAGCCCAGTGCGCCTACGGAGAGTGCTGCCAACACTGCCAGGTAACCTCCACCTGGCTGACGTCACCAGACATGATTAGGTCTTATAAAATATAACAGTCGTGCTCCACACACGTTTAGCTGCATAATGCGAGCAGGTCATCAACTGATTGGGTGATTGATCACATCACACACTGTGGTTTTGATTTAGAGCAATATGTCCCAACAAGCTTGGCTTCCATAAGTGGAGAGGACACACACTGTATTTATCTTACCTGGATGCGTTTACCTTTGCTTTCAGTTTGAATTCGGGTTTTTCTGTTCAGTACATGACGAGCGCTCTGAGCTTCCACCGTCACTGAGCCTCTGTGTGTGTGTGTATGTGTGTTCAGTTCCTTCCAGGAGGAACAGTGTGTCGCTCCCGCAGAGGTGAGTGTGATCTACCTGAATACTGCAACGGCTCCTCGTCCTTCTGTCAGAGTGACGTCTTTGTCCAGGTGAGCCATTGTAGGCTGGGCGGTCTCCGGAGGGCGCTGCAGATTCATTTGTCTCAGCTTTATTTACTGGCAGACATTCAGATTTTGAGTCTAGTTTAATGTCCATTTTTACCAGCGTTCTTCCAGCTCTGCTTTGTGTGGCCTCATAACGTGTGTTGGCTTTTCCGTTTGACCTTTGACCTTACTCATTTTTGTAATCACATTTTAACTTGCTACTAACTGTATTTTAATCAAAATACAGCAGCTCCACAAAGGATGAGCTCCTGCACTCTGCACAGTACTGAGGTGTGGATTTTCGTTGTATTTGCGTGTTAGCCAGTGAAGCCAGCGGGTCTTTCACCTCCCATCACACTTTCTTCTGAGTAACTACAGAGACATCAGACGACTCACAGGGAGCTTTACACCCTAATATCAGTCGGAGCACTTTACATTGTGTTTCCCAAAGCACAGGTATTTTCTGACCTGTCACCAAATGACCCACACTCTCTGAAATGCGTCTGTGTCTGCTCACAATCTCCTCCTCGTCTGTGAGTCGGTCGGTGTGTATTCTCCGTGTTCTGCCATTATCTGAACTTTATTCTTTTATTAAGGCTTTCTATGTGCGTGTGTTACAGAATGGGCAGCCGTGCAGGGGCCAGCAGGCCTACTGCTACAACGGGCAGTGTCAGCACTACGACGACCAGTGTCGGGCCTTATTTGGAGACAGTACGTACTGCTGACTCTTTACAGTTTGACGTGCTCTCATGGTGACTAGTGATAAAGACTGACGTTGTGTGTAGTGCTGGAAGGTAAAGTAGTGGAAGTGGTGAACTCAAAGTAGAACTAGTGAAAAAACCACCGACCCAAACTGTTCAGACGGTTCACTTTGTGACTTTTCACTTCTAAAGTTCTGTTTCAGTATCACTGGGTTCACAAGCATACTGTCCTTCCTCTCTCCTCCTCTTCCTCAGAGGCAAAGGCGGCTCCTGAAATCTGTTTCAAAGACGTCAACAGTAAAGGAGATCGCTTCGGAAACTGTGGCTACCACAACTATGGCTTCAAGAAGTGTGAGAGCAGGTAACACACACAGCAGGTGGTTCCCAGCAGTCTCAGATGTCCGCTGTGCGCAATACAGAGAGCAGAGGAGAATTGTAGACACACGACCATGAAGAGACAGAAGAGACAGCCTCTGCCTCCACTGCTCATGTGATGTAGCCACGCAAACGCTTAGTTAAAAACAAATGTGTGAGAGATGCAGGTAAAGAGGTGAGGGGACAGGAAACAAATCAAACACATCTCTAGAACAATGAGACATCCCTTCCTTAAAAGAAGCATCTGTTTCTGATGATGCCTGTGTTGTAGGTCTCAGAGACACTGTGGTGACCTGTCCAGACAGTAATAAGAGTTAATGAGTTGCTACAGCCAGCACAGTGTCAGATATCACCGTCCTGGTCTCTCCACTGACCCCTTCGCTATCCTCCATGTTTATTGTTACTGGTCTGTGAGGGGCCGACACCGAATGATGACGACAGGCTGTATGTGCAGAGGAGGAGACGTTAAAATGACCACATGGATTCTGATCTGACCATTCTGACAGCGCTCGTACAGTCAGAGGTCGGAGAGGAATTGGGTCTAGGAGCACATACGCAGGTGGCCCAGATCTGGTCTGAGGACATCTGAGCATGTCCAAGGTCACATCACATGATCATAACAGAAAAACACACACACACACCTTAGGGCCAGCCCTATGCTTACACCCATAACCTGACAGGGTGATGTTTGTCTCCTCCTCCACAGAAACGCTCTGTGCGGGAAACTGCAGTGCTCCAATGTTCAGATGGTGACAGTCTTTGGCATCAAACCGTCGATCATCACCACACCGATCGCCGGGGGCGAGTGTTTCGGAGTCGACTTCTCACTGGGATCAGATGTCCCTGATCCAGGCATGGTGAATGAAGGAACCAAGTGTGGAGAGAACAAGGTGAGGAGAGGAGAGAGGGAAGGGAAACGAAAAGAAGGAAGGGAGGAAACAGGAGATAAAATTTAGAGGGAAAGAAGGTGAAAGGAGTATGAAGGGAGGGAAATGAGATGCTGACTGATATGTGTCTTCTTCTGTGGTGTTCAGGTGTGTATGAACTTTGAGTGTCGCAGCGCTGACATCCTGAACTACGACTGTGATGTGGAGCAGAAATGTCACGGACACGGGGTGAGACACCTGTCTGCCTACCTCACTACCTGTCTGTCCACCTGTCTTTTTACCTCACTACCTGTCCATCTACCTCACTACCTGTCTGCCCACCCGTCTTTTTACCTCACTACCTGTCTGTCTACCTCACTACCTGTCTGTCTGCCTGTCTGTTTACACCACTACCCGTCTGTCTACCTCACCACCCGTCTGTTTACCTGACTACCTGACTGTATCCTCAGTCACTGTCTTGTCTCTCAGGTGTGCAACAGTAACAAGAACTGTCATTGTGAGGACAGCTGGGCTCCACCTTCCTGTGAGGTCAAAGGTTACGGAGGCAGCGTGGACAGCGGACCTACATGGAATGGTACAGCCGCCTTTAAACTGTGATAACAGACTGACAGAGGATCAATGTGTCTGATTGGAGATGCACTGATTCACCTTGTCCTGATCAAACCCCGGTACGCTCTGTCGCAATGAGGATTTTACTCAGAATTAAAATTAAAGAGGAAAATTAAAATAGAAAATGGCAAGTGAATGTTTGTTTTATTCAGGATAATCAGCCTTAAAAACATAAACTGAACTGAAATTACAGTTGTGAAACCAGGCAGGACAGTGATCGATGTGGTGTTTATAGACTCATGACTAAAAACCAGTCAGTCAGTCCACTGGTACAACAGTTCCTCTGGTTAATAGGAACACTGGTCTCCCTCCTGTATTTTTAACCACTGTAAATCTGCTTTTTAAGAAACTCAACACTTCCTGTTGAAGAGTTTCACATTAAAAGCACCACATGTGGACTGTAAATTGTCTGTCTTGGTAACAGTATCGTTCCTCAATTGTTGTTTCTAATACTTTAATATAAACTGTGTTTGTCTGTCGTCCTCAGATAAAGACACATCTCTCAGAGACGGCCTGTTGGTCTTCTTCTTCCTCGTTCTTCCTCTGCTCGCTCTGGGTGCGTTTGTTTTTCTGCGCAGGAACGAGTTGCTGCGTCGACTTGGGCTGGCCCGCAGGAAGAGGTCACAGGGATACCAGTGAGTCTCATCCAACTCAAACATCAACCAGTATAGCACCACAGAGGGTTCTCAGGTTTTAGGTGATGCAATAAAGGACAGCCGTAAAGCTGTCAGTCATAGAATCAGAATCTGAGGGGAACCGTTCATCTGTGTGCAGCTCTACATCCCAGAAGGCCATAGTACAACACTACAGATACACAGGCCTACATCCGAACACGCTGAAACACTGACAGTCCTGTCTGAGTTACAACAGCTGTGTCCCTGCACCAAGGCAGCTGCAGTGTCAGGAGTAGCTTACAGGTTGAGTACAGTAAATAATACAGTAAGGCTCAGTATCTGCTGCCTTATTGTTATTTACATCAGCGCGTAGATGAGTGTCATGGCACAACTACAAACTCCCTGTAACAATCAGCTGACATGCCAGAAAAAATATAAAATAAATTAAATAAAGTCTAATGTGGATGTAAACCTGTCCTGTCTGTCTGGTCTCCAGGGCTGACGGTACAGCTTCAGCCAATCCCAGCAGAGGACCGCCCCCCAGAGCACAGCCCCCACCTGTTGTCCGGGGCAACAGCAACAACATCGTCAGAGACGGGGTGGGTTTACCGCATCCAGACCGACAGGGGGTAGCGGAGAGGCTGAGTGGGGATGGAGAGGTGTAGCTCGTAGTTACCATGGTGACACTTTGTAGTGAGAAGACTTTGTAACATTTGTTTTCAGAGGCACAGTTTAAGTAAATTGATACCTGCTTACTTACAAACAACTTTCACCATTACCTAAAGGCTTCGTCTCTGGAACATGTGGTGGTCATGTTCTGTCAGAACCTGTCAAAGCAGATATTTCCCACTGATAAACATGACACAGTGTTGTGTTGATGTGCGGGGACCAGACCATCTCCTGCTTGTGTCTGAGCAGTTGTGACTCTGCTGTCAGACTGCACAGTTTGGAGATGACTGATGATGGAGAAGAGTTTAAGCATTTAAAGTGTCTAAAACATTTGCACGGTGGTGTTGAATCCATCTGGTGGGTGCAGACACTTGCACAGTCTGTGCAGCTTTACATTTACAATAGGCCACACAGACATGGAGTCATGGTCAGGGCGATGGTAATATGTTAAACCTGTGATCTCGCTGACCTGGAGGCTGGCGATAACAGTGCCTACACCTTCATCTGCAGCAGGTCACACAGAATCGGTTTATTTATCTTAGTGCTTTTTTAATATGTAGTTTTATTAGTGTACTCACCCACTCACAGAACTAATCAGTGGTCTGGTTAATGAATTCACCAATCAATAAATGATTCTGTTGATCTCTAGAACAGCTTCTCAGTGATGATCACTGCCTCTGTGTTTTAATCATCTATTGACTCAGCAGGAGGTGACGTTGCCCATTGAACTAATTTGTTGTCTACTATTTGAATTTTTTTTTTTTTTTTTGGATTGGTGATTGATTGACACATCACTAACTTACCAGATGTCTGTGGGTGTGTGTGTGTGTGTGTGTGTGTGTGTGTGTTTGTTTGTAATGAGAGCTTATTTCATCTACTAACATCCTCTCTCTCTCTCCATGTGAAGCACCACGCTCAGCTCCTGCCGCCACAGGAGGTAAAACAGTCATCACTACTCATACTCTACTACTACTACTACTACTACTGCAGTACCCTGTACTCTGCTCTGCTGCTTCCTGTTGAGTGTTTTCCTTGCTGTGTGTCTGTAGAGGATTAAATCACTGTCTCCAGTTTGACTTGGGTTTCAGTGTCTCTGCTTCTGACGGCTGAGGAAGGTGGTTTCACGCTTTGTTCAAGCTCCTCTTCCTAATGTCTCTTCAGCCTAGACAGTCCAGTGAGGCTCAGGCCAAACCGACACCATAAACCGCTCGTTGCCCCTCCCATCACGTTCTGTTTCCTGAAGCTATGACGTGGAAAATCTTAATCAGTGCCTCTTTAAAGATTTAAAGGCATAACTTTCAGAACTGCTTTCATCATTACGTTGTTCAGCTCTGCATATATCAATATATTTCTTATGTGTCTGATCAGGTGGTGGAGACCAGCAGGACGGCTCCATCCTACGCCCTGAGGCCTCCTCCTCCTCTGTAAGAACAAAACCAATGAATATTCTGTTCAACTTGTGAATGAAACTAAACCCACAGTTTAGTTTGAATCTCTTATCAAATCTTACTATCGTTATCTTTAATCATTTGTCAATAACTAAAGTTATCGGTTTCTCAGTGACCAGTTCAGGTCAGACCTGAGATCAGCGGTTTTTAGAGGCAGCTACTGAAGAACAGCGTTAACATTAATGAAGCCTAACTAATGTTTCCTGCCTGTAGCTTCAACCTGCACATGAGCTGAGCAGGAGAAGATGTGAACTATTGATCACTGATTGGTGCTGATTACTGTGTCACAGTGAAACAACAGCTGGAACACTCTCTCACATAGCAGAGCTCCTGACTCACAGCTCTGAGCTTAATGATCTCCAAATGCTGCTTTGATGCAGGAAAGTAGAACCTGGACTCTGCTGTGTTTATTGATCAGTTGGCCAAGGTTTTGGAGAAGCGTCCTCTCTGCTGAACTGTGGGAACACAGCTCAGTGGGAGATTTTACAGAGAGCCGTGTAGCAGCGTCCGCTCAGCAGCTTAGACAGAGCACGTTAACTGCCACACTAACTTCTCTCTTTTTTTAAATTCTCTCTCAGAAAACCGAAACCTTCTGCTGCATCACAACCTCTGGTGCCTCAAAGACCCGCCCCTTCTCCACCTGTTTAACCAACCAGGAGCCCCCACCACACCTGGATGGCAGCCCCATTTTTCTTTTCCTCCACTTGTTCCTCTTTGACTTAACCCACCGGTCACCATACAACAGCCAGGAAACTATTTTGGAGCAGAGATGGTGGACATCTGCTGGAGGCCAGACTGTGAACCAGACCACCAGAAAACTGGTCCCAGTCAGACTAGACTGGGAACTTGGCAAAAAACAGGGGACTGAGCTGTAGCTACTGTCCTGTACAGTCTGTCTCTGCTTTCTTTCTTTGAAGTGCAATCTGGAGATAACAGTTGAGCTCCATCAGGTGACACAGCGTCTGCTCTGTCACCAAACCAGCCAATTGTATTTCCAGAACACACACAAGCCAAATAACTGATAAACTTGTCATTGCCCAGCTCTGAAAACATGTTAGTTCTTTACGGTGCTAGGTAGCTTACAAGCATGTTCACTGACATGGGTTAGGGTTGGTTGGGTTAACGCTGCCAAACACCATACTACTGTTAGCATTACAAAACATCCACTATGCAGCTAGCTAGCCAGCTGTAAAAACTGTTTTAATTTACTCTCAGTGTCTCTTACAAATGCCAGCACAGTAAATATTCACTATATAGTTAGGTAGCCAGTCTTAACACTTGCTAGCCAACAGCAAACTTCATGATTATAGTTTAGTAATCAATAGTGTGTCCTAAATTTAATACTACAAACCAAACGAGTGTATAGCGATCACCTAATAGTATCACTCATATTCTCATATTGGCGATTACTTTACAACTGTTAGTCATTTTTGTGACATGCTTTTTGAAGCTCTGTATGTTAGCATGACATTTATGCAGTTTACAGTGATTACTCTGGGAGATTTACCAGCATAAATAACTTTTGAATCACTAGGGCCTTTAATTTTCATCAGAAGTCGACCAACACTGCTTCTCTCAGTTTAGCTGAAGCCGTCTAGCAGCTAGCTAAGCTAACTAGCCAACACTAATTCCATGAATTGGTTCGAGACCTTGGCTGAATTTTAAAGTTTTTGACTTAAGGGTTGAAACAGAACTCTATAAAATTTGTTTTAGTTATGATGCTAATTATATGAGGCTTATTATCATGCTAACTCATTGCAATAATAGTATGTAAAAAGGCTGAGAAGTTCTTAACTCTGATTGGCTGGTTTGAAGACACAAAGGTCACCATCACAGCTGGGTGAAGTTTGCACCTGGACACTCTCTCTCTCTTTCCCCCTTTCTGTGAATGAAAGCACTGGTGCTGTCTGATTGCACCTCCCCTCTGCGCTGCACTGTCATAGGAATGTAACGCACTCCTGCTGCTGCTGTGGTCTCCACCACCTAGCTCACACAGCGCTCCAGATTAGTAAAATCCCAGAATGCAATGGCACCTGAGTGCAGAGCTCCTGTGGGTTTCAGCTCTTCTCCTCTGGATCTGTGTGGTATGTCGATGTTTGTGACTGTGCTGGCTGCTGTTTCTGCAGGGAATGTACAGTACACTCACCTCGGTCACTTTTGTCACCAAGGAACTCTCACCTGAGACGTTTCACCACTGTTAAAATCCATCACCTGGGATCTTCTGTAGCTGTAGATAGTTTGGTACATATTTATTCAGCCAGTATCCTGAAAAACCAACTTCAACTTTGTTTTCATCCCAAAGGAAATTTCCTTTGCAGCCAAATGTTAAAATGCACAACACAAACAAAAAATAGAAGTAAAGAACAGAAAAGGGGTCAAATTAGATCAAGCCAAAAGTCCAGTACAATCCAGTGGGCAGAGCTGGACACAGGAATCTATACAGCTCCTGTAGGTATAACATTCAGGAGTGCACATCCCCACTGCATTTAAAGGTTCAGCCTCTCAACAGCTACAGGAGTACAAGTCTGAAACATCATGTCTTGGTGTGGCATGAGTTTTGGTGGCCCTCATTGTGCTGGTATAGCAGGTGTAAGCGTATCAGTGTAGCATCAACACCTCTACCTGGTCTATAAGAAAGTTTCAGTTTGGCCCGAAGTTATTCACAGAATCCACATTAATTATCAACAGCTAGAGGCAGAGGTCATTAAGGAGGACGGTGCTGTATCTCCAGCAGGCTCAGGACAAAACACAGTGAAGTTCAGTAAAGACGGGATTTAGATCTACTTTGTTTTAAACAACACGATCCATTAAAATACGACCAGATGAACCTGATGTTGATGTTCAGGATCAGCTCGGGACATCTCTGTTAATGTACTGTTCAGGCTCAGTTTAACCCTTTAACTAATGATCCCTTTTTGTTGACCCTCTCTGACACAGTCATGACCCTGATCTCTTCTGAAACGGAGCTTAGTATCAAAAATGGAAAATTGGTCAAAGTGACTGTGAATCAGTTACTGTACTCATCTGTTTTCAGAATCAGAGTTCCTGTTAAAATGTCATTGTGACTTTATCTTCAGTGAAAAACAGTTATGAGCCACTGTGCTTTGTCAAAGCCTAGAGTTGGCAGTGAGTGAGGATCCAACCAGACTTTGTCCAAAGTGAAGATCCCAGGTTGAAGATGTGAACAGTGTTGAAGTCTGGATGTAATCTGTTAAACCAGGAATTTTAATACGATCAGTAAGCCAAACGTTTCTGTTTGTGTCTGACGGGCTTCCTCTGACTGTTAGCGTTCTTAGTCGCACACTGCAGGTAATCAGCCTGGCTGCATCGTCATGTGAGGACATCATGTGGATATTTTTAACTGCTTTAGTTTATCTTTAATTTGTTCTCGAGTGTTTTTTCACAGAAATGAGTGTGAACATGAGGACTCAACTAATAATAACTCACAAGGCCAATGTTGTGCCATCCTTCTTATGCAAAGAATTTATGAGCAATCAGTGTTTCCCCCTGACTTTTAATTGTGAGAAAAGAGAGACTGTTGAGAATGAGGTGATAAAGCTGAAGTCCATGTAATGACTCAGTAACCTGACTGTAAAGATTAGTGGGTAAACTGCTTCAGCTGCCTCTGACTGCTCAGTTTAAAGGTCAAATAAGTCTGCTGATATTCAACATTTTTCTTAAAATCAACAAATCTCATGTCCAGACTCAAGCCAACAGTGATCGTCTCCTTTTGTGCCTGGTATCCCTCGTCCCTCTGAGCCACAGAGCTCCCCTGTGTCCACACACCATTAAACCCACCAGTGATCATGTGGCTGCACTGGCTGACATGTTCCCTCATCACCATGAACACACACACTGGAGCTGACTCAGTCCCACACACACACACACACACACACACACACACACACTATCCTTTATATGCCATTTGTAAACACCTTTAAACAGGGCATTATAAAAATGTGCATACAGGCAGTGCTCTGCCGTGTAGGGCTCATTACTCAAAAAATGTAATATATTACTCATTACTTTTCAAAAATTAATAGTATTACTTATTACTCCCTGTCAAAAGTAACTCATTACATTTCTCATTATATTACTTTTCCGTTACACCCCACAGATTAGTAACTGTGTCTTGACAAAATGTGCCTCCTAGTTGTGAGAATGTTGGGGTGATCACTGGTGAGCGCACCTAAGGCTTCAAACTAGCAGGGGTTTTTCTGAAGCCTATGAATCCATAATAGCTACAGGCTAGAAAATCACACATGGCTCAAATTGATGACAAGACACAGTCTTTTAAACAATTATTATTTTTATTTTTTTTTTTACCTGTTTGTTGGCGTGTATCATCTCAAGCTTCACACTATTGTGCTGCCTCAGTATGTGTTTCAGCGCTACCTACACGCAATTTACATCTGAAAATATAACAAACTACAACATCGTTGGTTTGAGTCCAAACAAGAGATTTGGTTAAAAGAAATACATAAAGTGACAGCGGACTGATCCTTTATATGTTGGGTTCCAATCTATATGTCCTGTCTGTATGAAACCCAGAAATCCACAAAAGTCTGAAGGAGACTGTTGGTGAGAGTTTGGGCCCTGAGTTGAGTCTTTTCAGGCAGAGATTCCTACCACCCAATAATCACCTTTATTGGCCATGTATGTTACACACAAGGAATTTGTTTCCAGTACAGAACTCAAGTATTGCCTTTAACTACAGTGTTGAGGTTCTATATAATATTCAGCTGCACTTCCAACAGCTGTGGTTACCCTGCAGTTTCAAATTATGTTGTAATATTATAGATTAAGCATGAATGCATTGATAATTACAGTATTCTGAAAATGGTCAGTTCCGCATAATAAGTACATTTATCTTTGGGACACAAAGTATATTTGGATGCCAATATTTATATTCCCTTAACTAAAACTTAAATACAGGCCTTTCACCTGTAACAGAGTATTTTCACACTGGTACTGCTACTTTTACCTGAGTACTTTGTCCAGCACTGCTTACTGTAGTACTGCTGGTTCAATACCTTCACATAAAGTGACTCCAAGGGGTTGGTCGTGTGTAGGCAGCCTGTGAGGTAAGACTCGGGGCAATTGAGTCTCAAATAAAGAAAAGCTGTCCCCAGTACAACTAATCTTTATGCTAAACCTGTGTGTACTGCATGTGTGAGTTGTACCACACCAGGTGAGTGATGTCACTGTCACTATGGCAACACAGAAATTCACCTTTTCTATTATGATTTTATATACAGTATGACTTTTTTTTTGCAAATGTAATACTGTGATCTGTGGAGTTTTTATTTCATTATTAAATGTTGCTGTGTCACGTGGAACTCTGTCGCTGACTGATTTTCATGATTTGAACAAGCCAATGATTATACTACAGAACATCCAGAAGACTGAACTGTTGACTGAAGAAACGGGTTCTGATCTCAGACCTGTGGAAGCCAAAAACGGGTTATGCCACTCCAGACATTTTGTAGATACGAGGTTGTCTCCATCCAGGTGTGGTCTGCTGGAATATTAGAAATGATGTCCTGCAGCTTCACATTATCATTTAATAGGCTTTATTCAAGCAGATGGTGATCGTGTTACTGGTAAAATAAACCTGTAATAAAGTTGCACAAAACTGTTGTGTTACAAATGGGCTGATGTTTGTGCCTGCAACATCATAGTCCAGCATCAGTAGATTATCTGAAAGCCAATAAGGCCTGTTCCCTGCACTAGGCCCAAAAGGTGTGACTCCTTCCTGCCTGAAACCTTGTGTTGACCAGCTGGCCCCCATCTTCACACTTGTCTTCAACAGATCACTGGAGCTGTCTGTCATCCCCTCCTGATATAAACACTCCACCATCATCCCAGTCCCTAACAGACTTCAGCGGACTGCATGACTACACACCTGTTGCCCTCACATCTGTTGCCCTTCAGCGGACTGAATGATTACACACCTGTTTCCCTTCAGCAGATTGAATGACTACACACCTGTTGCCCTCACATCTGTAGTCATGAAGTCCTTTGAGAGACTGGTGTTGGCCCACCTGAAGGACATCACAGACCCCCTGCTGGACAAACTGTAGCGGGTCAGTGGATGACGGAGTCAACATGGCACTGCATTGCATGTTCTCCTTCTACACCAATGACTGCACCTCAGAGGACCCCTCTGTAAAACTCCTAAAGTTTACAGATGACACAACAATCACTGGTCTCATTCAGACAGTGGTCCTGTGATGTAGTCACAACAACCTGGAGCGGAACACGCTCAAAACAGTGAAGATGAGAGTGGACTTTAGGAAGAACAGAAAAGTTCTTTAATAATAAACTGAAGTAACAGTTTATTTTACTTTTATTCAAATATAAATATATTTAAAAATATTGATAGTTTTAACTTAAATATTAGTCTATTCGCCATTTAAAATGGTGTAAAAACAGTTTTGTTTTAAATGAAAAATATTTCATACTTTAATATCATTCATATTAAACATTTATTTAAACCTAAATTTATTTAATTTTTTAATGTTTTTTAATTTATTTTTCTCTGTCTTTAGTTTGTTTCATTTATTTTGGACGGCAAAAGTAATTCGAGACAACGCCCCGCTTCTTATTACGTAATGACGTCGTGTTGCGTCCCGTCGCTTCCACACAGGCCTCGTTTCCATGCTCCGCGCTCCCGAGCTCTGCCGGGAGTGGAGAAGGGCAGTACGAATATCGGCCGGAAGGGGAGCCGCTTGAAAGGCGTTTCGCGAGGTTAGTAACCGGGACGCGAGCATTTTACTACGTCTGAGTGTCTACAGAGAGATTATTAATCTGGCCTGTCGCACACAGACAGACGTTAACGTTTAGATAGTCGAGAAAAGCCATTTTCAGGAATTTGAGAACGACAAAACCTGATAGCATGTTAGCAGCCTGGTAGCTACCAGAACCCGGTTATACTAACGCTAATCATGAGGGCTAGGTTGTATGTTAAAATGCTTACTGAAACTGCCGGTGCTTGGTGAAAAGTATTGGTCACTCATCGGGAGGATGGTTAATTTATTAACTCTGAAGATAACTTAAACTGGTATAAGAAAGCTAACTCAATTAGCACCCGCTGCCCAATCGTGCTAAAGGTGACTAATTGATAAAGAAGCGTTGTGGCGAAGCTAGCCGGCTAATTACATAACCTAACACGTTAGCTCTCAAGCTAATCATGTAGCCAGTTAATGCGGAGCGTTCACCAGCATTATATAGCTTTCCGTCTGTAGATATGGTGACTCAAACGCTACAACATTCAGGGAAAATCATGTTGAGTGTTCTGGTAAAGTAGGTATTTTTAGAGAAGTCATGACTTGTGGAAGGGCAAGGTGACTGACAATGTATAGGACCAATAGAACAAAGCGCAGTTTTATTTCCGGGCGGGATCCCTACCGGCAGCCAATCAGGAGGAAGGCAAGGCAGATGGTGAGCGGGTCTTGTCCGAGGTGAATAAAGGAGAACTGAGGCCAGTGGAAACCCAACAAGGTTAAAACAAACGGAGAAACTGTAGCGTGGAGAAAACATGAAGCCACAGCAGAATTTTTTTTCTCGTCTCTCAGACTGGAAACGTCTGGTGCCTAGATTGACTTTAATCTGAAGGTTTTCCTGAACGCTTACACTGGTTGATCACTGGGTGTAGAGTACAGGAAGGGCAGAGTACAAACACACTGACATTTGGCAGGTTCTCAAACTGTAGGCAAACACAGTTGGTGGGTGTGTGCCTGCCTGGGAGGTGTCTTAGCCTGACAGTGGTTAAAAAATTCTGCAGTAGTTGTTACCTGCATTGATTTCTGATACAGTTCACACAGGTCCAGAATATATTCATGCCAAATAAGCACTGTTGTTGCATAAAGTACATCTCAGAATTGATCATGGGAAGTCACATTTCTTCGGCATTCAACACATGAACAGCACTGTTCTGTGTTGGTTCTGTCAAGGTAAAATTGTGTCAAGTTCACATTACAAACTAAACTGTAAACTCACCTCCTGGCTTTAAAAATTAGGATTTATTTTCCTTTGCAACAGCTAAAACACAGCACATCTATATTTGTTAGATACATGTGCAAAACATTTGAGCAGGAATAATAAAATCTGTGCAACGCTAACAAGGGTGTTATCATTCAGCATAATTTAAAAATAAATCCTATCCCATACAGCTACACAACAGCAGCAGATGTTTCAGTCCAGATGTCCACTTTAGTTTGAGCTCAGACAAACTTATTCATCTGCACTATTTGTGTTGACATCAGCCTGATATGTGGAGACAGCTGCTAGCTAGCATTAGCTCCAGACAAGAGCAGACTGAATAAAGTGGGATCCACACACTGTTCATTCAACTTTCGCAGCCTCACATCTTGTAGCCAGAGATTATGTATGTTCAACACAGCAAACCCAGGTCTTTTTTCAGTCTGCCCTCTTGTTGATGGGACTTCTAGATCTGCTTCAAGTTAGCCACAGTCAGCTAACATCCTGAGTAGGGCTGCATGATAAATCATTTTGTCAGTGTGATTTTAGATCCCTGTCTCAGGCTCGTGTGACAATGATTCTACCAGGTTTGCTTTAAGAGTGAGATCCCTTGCGTCAAACCAAGCGCTCCCTGTGGTTCACTGAGCTGCTTTAACCCATAACTGCAACTAATAACCACAGAGTGATTTATTTCTACCTCCACTGCTGTTTGGTACTAGGTGTACAGGCCAGGCAGAGCAATGTTTGAAAAATAGTCATAGGACGGTACAGAATATCTTCCACACTGTCAAACATGTTAAATTTTTTTTTTTTTGGAATCACTCTTCTCTTCCTGTCTACAGCTAGTCGCGTGATCTAACACATTCCTGTTATTGGTTAGTGCAGCTTAGTGAGGAAAAGGGAGTGCTTGATTTGGTGCAAGGCATCTCCCTGCTAATGCAAACATGGCAGAATCATTGTCACGTGAGACTGACATCACACAGGATCAGAATCATGCTCACAAAATGATTTATCATACAGCTCTGATCCTGAATTGGCACATGTAAAGTATAGCGTGTTTATGGGCTGCTGCGACTCGGTGCAGCTAATATAGCCAGGTATACTTTACATTACTTTTTAACTTAAAGTAACGTTTGTGTGCAGGTTGTAGCAAGTTGTTTTCCACAAAGGCAACATTTTACACACTCTGCATGTCTGAACTGAACCACTAACAACAAGTACTCTCCCTCTCTAATACAGTGTCTCTCTCTTCTTGTCTGTCTCTCAGTGGACAAACAGACCAGGTGACGGGGGACGCCTCATTCAGCCCTTTCTGTTCTGTGTGTGACCTCAGTGGAGTTTCTTTCCTGCCGTTGTTCTGAGGACATCTGGCCCGTCGGACTGACCACCACCACTGTGTGTGTGTGTGTGTGTGTGTGTGTGTGATACTTCTAAGGACTGCTCATGCATCGTTTAAGGACTTGTGCGGCGCGGTTGCGTCCACTCACAGCCTCGCAGGCAGCTCAGACTGTCAGCCAGCAGCGACCAATCACAGTTGCCTCCACAGGTGACACAAGGACGTTTCAGCCAATCAGATACTATTCTACACCAGTGGCCTCAGAGCCTTTTCTAAATGGGACAAGCACCAACTACGTGGAGGAGATGTACTATGCCTGGCTGGAAGACCCCAGGAGTGTTCACAAGGTAAGGAGCAGTGGAGCTCCCTTCTGGTCTGGAGGAGTGTGTGCAGCAGGTCCACTGTGGGCGTTTGTTGCTGAAAGTTCAGTGAAGGCAACATTAAAGGGAATATAAGCCATAAAATGTAGTATGTAAAGGTTAACAGTGAGTGTATGCTCCAGTAGACCTCTGATACAGCAGTTGTAAGTCCAGTTTTAATCAGATAAGAATATATCAGATGTGAAACACAGTTTTGATAAGGATCCCTTACATGTATTTTATGGGGTGGATGGGGAGTGTCTCAACCAGATTTCACTGTAAATTACTTATCTTAGTGTGCACGTTTATTTCTAGTATTTTTCCTTTGGGCTAATCCCTGTAACGTTACCAGCTGTAGCAGCTGTGCTGAAATGTGATGCTCAGACATGAGCTGACGGTTGGCGTTAGTTCTGAAAAGCACCAGTCTCAGAGGTAAACTTCTGAGTCAAGTCCTCCTTTATAAAGGTGCTGAGCAGTTTTTGTTGTTTCCACCTCATTTATATCACTGAGGCTAAACACCAGAGCCAGGTCTGTGTGATCAGACAGGTGAACCAGCACCTCTGAACCAGACTGAACATCATCACCTATTTAACACACACATATTTAACTGGGTCAAAGTGCAACCAGGCTAATAATAACTGAGAGAAGCTCAGTCACAAGACGGGAGGGAGGCCGCTCTGCAGCAGTGAGGAGCACACTGGAGGACAACATGTTCTAACTAACTTAGATCTTATCTTAAACCAGGTGAAGCTGGGTTTGTTAGTCTTGGATTAGGGATTAGTTTCTGCAGGATTAATGGTAGTTTGATATTTGTGCTGACACCCAAACTTTGTTTCTGTGCCCAATGTATTTATTTATGTGACAGGGTCCTCACAGGTAGACATGGCTGTATGTATGGACAGTTCTAGGGATGGGCAGTAGTTTTCATATATTCAAGTAGTCGTTTAAAAAAAAATCAAGTATTTTATGCAGCCATGGTTTTGTCTTTTAAAACAAAAAGCCACTGTTTTCCTTTGCTTTTATGGGTGCCTGGAAATAATGTGATGTTGAGGTCAGCATACTGTTTTACTACAGTGCCAGATACAAACAGCAGAAACACGCAGACAGTATAACGTGTACTGAACGTCTGTAACCTGCTACACAACGTACTGTAATACAGTGGTTTTAATAGGAGCCTAACCCTCTGTCAGAGTGAAGACGTCACATTTCTGCAACTTTGTTGTGTTTAACCTCTGCTACTACTGGTTTTGTTGTAAATATCATGCACTGTTGTTGCAGTAACATACTGACTACTGTACCTCCTTATTTTGTCTGTGCCTCACAGATGCGTTCTGTTTGTCTGGGGGTGTCCCTCCCTCCCTGACGCAGAGAATCACAGTTGGCTTTACCTTTGTCATCATCACTTATCTTAAAAAATATCTGTGAACCACTGAAGTTTCTTCTCCACTCCCTAACGATCAGCTCAGCCAGCGTGAAGATAATGTACTGCTGCCGTCTGAGTACAAGTACCAGACAGTGGTATCAGACCCAATAATGGTATCGGTGCGTCCCTACTTGTATGCAGAGAAGTAATGCCACAGATGTCGTGTATGTAGCTGAAGCCAATGTTCAGGTTAAAACATCCAGTTTATTTAACAAAGAGAGAATATAAAAGAAAGCCAGCATTAGTGACTGAATGGTCCAGAGGGAGTTTGTGAAGTGTTGAGAGCCCGTCCTGATTGATTCTGGATTTACATGACACTGTGGGGTGGGATAAAGGCAGATATGTGCTGAAGTGACAGAAGCAGAAACCAGGTGGGGAGAGTGGTTTGGGAAAGTCTCAGACTGTGGCAAGAGCTGGACACAAGAAGTCTGTGAACAGAGTGAGTCATGAGTCCACAACCTGAGTAAATCAAAGAGTGGGAGCCTGACGGAGAAATTGTGTTCCTCCTCTGTGCACTCTGTCTTACTGACTGCAGCATGGACACTGGTTCTGTTGGGATGTGGTTTTCCTGCTCCAGATGCTGCGGCTGCTGTGAGGGTTTCCTGTCCTGTTACCTTCCTGTTTAACCCTCAGGGGTGTGGCTCTGAAATGACAAGGAGCCTGATGGCACCAGTGAGTGTGGTGTGCTCACCGTCATGTGTGTGAGTCCAGACCCTGGTCCAGCTCATCGCTCTGCGGCGTAGACCTCCACTATTGTCCCACCCCCCACCCCACAGTGAGCGTCACCGCTGCACTGGGGGGCAGGTTTCTTCCTCAGGAAATATGGGAGGCGTCTGTTTCCAACAACCAGCTCCAACATGTTGTGTGTCCCAGTGTCAGGGGGCTTCCGATCGGGAACGTGTCCAAACCCCTTGACCGGGACATCGGTGTCTGTCATACATATTCACTCCTTGAGTCATGGTGTTAAACTGCAGCCATATTGGCCATCTACATTGAAAATTGCTTTCTGAGAGACGAGTCATCAAGGAAACAGTTGTGTGTACACTTGGACACAATGAGTGGAAAACCCCGCTGAGGACAAACCCACTGCTCTTCTTCTGCTATTCTATTTACCTTGTTAAAAATCATCTGTTCTCTCTCACTGCATCTCTTTCCCCTCATCTTTTGTCTTTCACCACTCCAGTCATGGGATGTGTTTTTCCGCAACGCCAACGCCGGAGCTCCTCCTGGCGCTGCCTACCAGTCTCCTCTGTCAGTGTCGTCAAGCCTCATCGCTCCTCAGCTCTCCTCTCTGGTCACAGCTCAGCCCAATGTGGAGAAGCTGGTGGAGGACCACCTGGCCGTCCAGTCCCTCATCAGGGCCTACCAGGTACAGGATATGCTGAGCATAGAGCCAGACTTAGCACCACATCCCAGACTCCAGTAGCTTTATGTGCCTTCAGACATGATAATGATGTCTCACTTAAAGTGCTCCCATTCATTGTGATTCATTTTAACCCTACAGGTTATTGACAAATCACTGTGATCTGTTCTAGGGCTGGATTAAAATAGTCAATTAATTGTGATTCTTACTTGAACAGTTTAACGTTGACTCTTAAAATCCCGATGCTGATTTTTGCGTTTGCTTCATTTCCCAGTGAACCTGTACATCTCTGATAAATGTTATATGTATGCAGAGGTTAGCTGTTGTAGTTCAGTTCAAGGCTGAGTGGTATGTACAGCGTTGAGTCACACCAGATCCACACCCTGATGTGAGTAGTTGCCAGGGTTGGATGTTCATTTAGAGTTGGTTCCATTAGCTTTGATTTGACTCATGATTAATTTCCATCACATACAGGTGTTGCATAAAGAGCATCTCACAGTCTTGGGAACTTGCTTTTTTTCTGTGTTCATTGCTTGAGCAGCACTGTTGTTTCTTTGTGTGTGTTGAGCATAAAACTTCATAGTTTTATGCTCAACGCACACAAATAGAATCCACACAGTGTTGGCTCGACTTCCACGGCCTCGTCTCGGAACCAGAGACCTGTTCAACACGGCAAACCTTCAGGTCTGCTACGAGTTAGCCACCGTCGGCTAGTAGCAACAGTCAGTAAAGTGCGGCATGTTTACGGTCTGGCGTGACTCAACGAGGATAATGTACGTTGTAACTTAAACGTTGTGTGCCAGATGTAACAACTCACTTTCCACAGTGTGCAGTATGTGAGCTACTTGTACCACATCACCCCTTTGTACACACATGTACCATGAACAGGAGACATAGTGGAAAAGACTCTTGCCTCAAGGTCCATTAAGTAACTTGTTCTTTTGATCCTATCACATGACCTTCATCAGTACATGGAGTCTGTTGTCGTGGACATAAACACTTTAATTCACGTTTTTTACAAAAGTCTTTGTTAAGGTGTTTTCCTGGACTGTGAGGACAGTTCCATGGTATTGCTGATATGATCAAAATCTCCAGAACAGCTGCTAAGTGGACCTGGTGGAGAGATGCATTTTAATTTGAAATCTGTTGGTTTCTATGGTCAAAAAAGCACCGCTGCGTTGTTTCTGGGTGACGTGGCCCCTTAGCACCACAAATGAAAGGACCTTATCAGAGATTTATTTTTCTGTTTTCATATCTTAACCTGTCAACTCCACATCCTGCGTTTACAGACACAGGTTTAGTTTCATGTCAGATTAAAGCATTTGCTGTTGTTTGGGTTAAGTTCAGAAACTCTGATTTTTTTCTTTTCAGAGCATTACTCAAAGCTGCTGTTTATAAAACGTCTTCAACACTGAGAAGTGTTGAATTCACCTGTGGGTGCATGGTGTGATATGTAACTTCTGTTTTTCCACAGGACATCCTGTGACATGCGGCCGCAATGTGCTGGATGCTGTTTATGCTTTTGTGTTGATGTTTTACAGTTATTTGTTTATGTGGGTTCTTTAAATGATTATTGAATTGTACTTTTTATGTTCATACATCATCATTACGTTCAAGTGCATCATTTATTTATCTAAAACCTGACCCCATTTCTAGCACGTTAGTTAATACACATGATCTGTGTGATGTAGGATGATGTACATTAGTTAGTCCACCCTGGGGTTGGGGCCCTGCATGGGGGCATCTTATAACCACACGTGTAAGATTATTTATGAAAACCTTTATAAGACTGGCAAACTGACAGGCTTTCTGTCTATTCCAGGGTTTCTGTGGGTCCTCGGAAAGTCTGAAATCCAGTCATCAGAATTTCAGTCCTTAAAATGTCTCCAACGTGATTTAGATCATGTTCAGGTTAACCTGATCAGTTCAATCTGATGCTGCTTCTGTGACATTGTGCTGACTTCAGTCATGTTTCGGCCTTTGGGAACACGCAGTAGTGCCACCTGTGGTCCTTTGGCTCCATGTTGAAACACGAACGGCAGCAGACGTCTCAAACAGTGTTGTTGAGTATGAACATGGCACCAAGGCCCCACTCTGCACTGCTAACACGCCTCCGGACAGAATCTGGGTCTACAGCAGCAGCAAACCCTTTGTCACATTAGAATAAAATCAGTCTTAAGTGGATGTGCATTAGGCTTTAAACTCAAAGCAGGTCTTAATTTCAAACTAGATGCCACAGAAACCCTGGATTCAGTTCAGTTGTACCTTGTGTCCTGATCTTGAATATGAGAAAGTGCCAAATCTAGCTCATCCCTTTATTTGTTGGCATGAAGGAAAAGGTTGAGAAACCCTGCTCACTGATGCAGCCAGTAGAGGTTTTCTCGGGTCACAGGTGCTGGACCCAGGCTGAAAATCCTCCAGTTATTGGTCACAGAGAAAATGTGAACTGACTGGAGACAAAATAATTAGACCTTTCATTTTGGTTTTAGTGGGTTAGAACTGTGGCCCCACAGCAGGAAGGTTCCTGGTTCAAGCCTGGCAGCCGACACGGGACCTTTCTGTATGGGGTCTGCGTGTTCTCCCCATGCCTGTGTGGGCTTCCTCTGGTACTTCAGCTTCCTCCGGTCCAGTTAGATGAAGTTTAGGTTGACCGGCGACTCTACGTTGTCCTGTGTGGATGAACCTGTTAAAATCACATTGAGATTGGCGACCTTTTTTTTTTTTTTTTTGTTTTTGAGAAAGAGACCTGGCCAAGGCAGCAGCATCACAGGGTCCAGCAGGACAACATGACATCAGTCCTACAAGTATAGGAAACAACATGTGAAGGGTGCAGTAGGCTAGAGCCACACTTACAGGCCACGTTAGCTATAATGCTAACAGGAGGCTGTTACAGTTCAGACACTCTGCAGCTGATATTGTACCAAGCGGACTCTTTCCGCTATTTAGCCTAGCCTCACTGATGTACACTCACCAGCCACTTTATTAGGTACCCCTGTACAACTGTACGTACTGTGATGCAGCATTTACACCTTAATCTGAGTTTATGAAGCTCAACATGTTTCAGTTTTGGTGAAATTGTCATAAATTCTATGTTAATTACTGAGGTCATAGTTAAAGATGGTGGTGTAAAGGATGACATTATTTTCAGAGGTGTCCAGCTACATAATGCGAGAGTCAGAGTATTAGGAACACCTCTGAATATAGTGTAGTCCAGTATAACACTGTCTTTAACTATGGCCTCAATAATAAACACATTTATACCTTTATGACGGTTTCATCAAAACAGAAACATGTTGAGCTTTAAGGTGGAAATGCTGCATCGCAGTGCCTACAGTTGTACAGGTGTTCCTAATAAAGAGGCCGGTGAGTGTAAATGGGGTTGTGATAACCTGTCTGTGTGTGTGTTTAGGTGATGGGGCATCACAGTGCCCACTTGGATCCTCTGGGAATCAGCTGTGTGAATTTTGATGATGCGCCGGTCAGTACCGGCTTCCACGACGTCGGTGAGAACGGCAGAGCTAACAAACTGCTTCCTGTGGTGTTAATGCTGCTTTTCCCTCCCACCCTCCCTCTTCTTCTCCTCTCCTTCCTCCTCTTGTCCAATGCCATCCTCCCTTTGGTTTTCTTTAAAACTCACCCTGCTGTTATCCATCACTCTCCTCCTTTCCTTCCAATTTTTTGTTTTTTTGCCAAATCCTGTTTCGATGCTGATACTTTTGCCCTCTTCATTTTCTCTATCTCTCCTTATACTTTTTAAACCCTTTCCTCCATCTTGCTTCTCATCCACTCGGTCTCCACGTCTTCCCACCTTTTATTTCTTTGCACATTGTTTCCTCCTCGTCCATGCCTTCTTTTCACTCCCACCTCCTCTTCGTTTCGATTCCCCCACACTCCTCCATCCCTTTCTCCTCCTGTCCCGGGTGGGCTCTGCATTGTTGTCACTCCCTTTAGATCCGAGGGCACCATGTGGCACAGTTGGACCCTCTCGGCATCATGGACGCCGATCTGGACTCTTGTGTCCCCACTGACATTATCACCTCCGATGACAAACTGGGTGAGGAGTCAAACCCTTAGAAAAGACCTACAGCATCTTCCTATATCCCTGGTCTCTCTGCTGTCTCCTGGTCTGCCTCGCAGTCCAGCTGTTTCTAAAGCTAACCGGTAGGCTGGGGGTGTTGGGTGAAGTTTCTTGTAATGGGAATGCTTCTTTAAAGGACAAACCTGGTAATGTTCTATGCTCCTGTTAATTTCCAAAAACACTGCAGAGAGATCAAGGCCCGAAACACCACGCAAGTATGCAAACGCAATGACAATTACTGGCAAACCACACATCCCTGGTGAACATGGAGACAGGTGGAGCTGATGAAGTCAGGCCACTAGAGGGCAATATCAGCCAGTTGGGGCTTAGAACTGTACAAAATGTTTCCACAAGCTGCGCCACCTTCATCTTGTTGTCTCATGCTACAGCACTCAGACTGCTGCTCGCACTCATATCATGTTGGCATTTTCTAGTGACACACACGAATGGAACGTCACATGAAATCGATTGTGCTTAGCTTGAGGCGTTTGTGTACTTGCGCAAAGTATGTTTTGGGCCTAAAAACAGCACTAACAGTCTCTCATTGTCATCATTAGTTACTCATAGAAGAATATTGCTTCATCGGCACAGCTTTCACCAGAATCTTAGCTATGTACCCATATGTCCTCCCTCCAACTGGATAATTTGGACCGTGAGGGTCGAGATTTTATAAACCTGGCCAACCTCTTATTTTCCTCTGTAAAGCTGCTCCCCTAATGACTCTTCAGTGAGACTCAAACAAACCACCTCCATAAACTACTCCTTCCTGCTCTTTGCTCCTCCTGTCCTGTTTCCTGAAGCTCTGACATGAACTACAGAAGCCCGGTTGGGACACACTGTAGAAAGCGGCACTGCAGCAGACGGAAATCCTCCATGCATCACGTATTGTATGTCCTCATGTTACACCGACTGCATGGACAGGAGCTGTGAGCCGGGACTTCTGTAGAGTTTATTTACTCGTGAGCGCTTTCAATTACAAACCTAACATGGATGAGAAGTGGTTGGGAGAACTGGGAACCTGAGCATCTACAATGGTGTAAAGTCCATCTGCTGAGGAAGATCGCATGATAGGAGTGAAAGCTCCAACAGCTCCCTGAGATAGTAAGAGATGAGTTCAGATACTCTCTCAGACCCAGATCAGTTTGACTTTACCTCTGCAAGTCATGACATTTGATCACTGTTTGTATCTGCAGCACATGACTGTCACTGCTCTGCTGTTGCACCGGCGTCTTTGCTCTGGCAGCAGAAACCTGCAGCCGTGGTCGTGGATTCAGCACTGACTGTGTTAGCTTTTGCTTTGGGTTGTCTGGCGCCTGCTGTGACATGTTGGCCTCAGTAGTTGGCTTGATTAGAGAGACTGGCTGGATTTGTTGGCTGATCGCTGTAGAGGCATCGAGGTTGTTGAGCAGCTTGACTCTGTGCCACCACTGGTTTTAAATGGAAATGTCACCTGCTAAACAGAGTGGACAGGACCTCTGTGTGTCTCTGCCCAGTTCATCTGCACCTAATGATTATTTTAGTTATTCTGTTGATTATTTTCTGGATTCATTGTTTAGTCTGTGAAATGTTTAAAAACTACCATCTTCAAACTGATTTTTTTGTCTGATGAACAGTCTAGACCTTATTATATTTAATTTACTGTCATACATGACAAAGAAAAACAGCAGCTTGTCACATTTGAGAAGCAGGAACCAGAACATAATCGACTAATCTGTCGTGGAAACTGCATTGTGTTTGCTGCAGGGACAGATCAGAGACACACCCAGTGTGAATGAAGTACTGGAGGTCAGTGTTGAGATCTACATTCCTGCAGCTCAGGGGTTTGTCCTGTCCCTGCTACAGTGAAGGTGACCTGTGCAGAATGGCTTCCTGTCTGGGAAACCCCCCGGCGCGGGGTTGGTTGTGCTGTGGCTTCTGTAGTGAGGACTGTTTAACCTCAGCATTGTGGTAGCTGCACCCCTCTCCGCCACTTTCTGCCTTTCCTGACTTTTCCTGCACATTTGTCTGTTGATTAGCAGGTGGTGGAGATGTAGCGATGCCGAGCTGTGGTGTGAAATGGCTGTGGGTGTAGGGTGTGAATGGGTTGTAGGTCACTAATGGTGTTCGGGTGTCTCTCCCCTTCTCTGCCCCCTGTGGGAACCCTTCCAGACCTGGCTGTGTTCAAGGAGAGGCTGACAGTCCTAATGGTAGGAGGTATGAGAAACAACGGCGATGCTGGTGTGTCACTGCACAGAGCTGCGAAGCCACTAGTTCACTGCAGTAGAGTGGAGCAACATGTACAGGAGCTGCAGGGGGTTAGAAATGGGTGCTGCTATCTGCTGGGCCGACAGCAGCAGCACGGTTCTGACGTCCTGAGCTCCTGTAGATGTCATTGCACCAGAGGGGGAGGATAGAAAAGAGGCATTTCATTTGGTTCACCCTCTTTGTTATTATTCAGCATGTTTCTACAGGAGTTAAAGAACAGTTCACCTCTGGTACTGGCGACTTTGAGTCACCACTGCTTGGCTAGTTTTCCACAAAATAAACTGTAGGCTGAGCGTGAACGTAGGAGCAAAAACAAGGATTAATATACGGCATTTGTAGATGGTGCATTTAGATTTCTGTGGTTACATTTTCTTTGTTGTGTGGTGACGGCTGGTGTCTGGAGGCTGACTGCTTTTTGCTTGTTACTCTTTGGTGAAGTGTGCGCTGTATCAGACACTGAACCACAGTGGAATATGCTGTAAGACCTCAGTGCACAGGAAACATCCAGAAAGTCACATCAGATCAGCCTATTAATTAAATACGTTTTCATTCTCATCAGCTCTTTTGCAGCGTCCTCAGAGCTCGCCACGCTACAACCTCAGAGAACATGCAAGTAGACAAAACACTAGCAAATTAACAACACATCTTTGTGACAACACGCACACAGTCTCACTTGGCAGCATTTTTCTGTGTGTGTCCCTGAGCTGCAGCGCCTCAAGCTCTCAGGGCCGTCGCACTGTGTTCCTCCAGTGTTGGCTGTGTTTGTTGACAGTCTACTGCCTGGCTCCTCCGACCTCCTCTGGATGTCTCCTGTGTTCTGGTGGGTTAGTTAGCTCTGTTAGCTTCTAGAGGCTGCTAGCATCCTGCTCTGTCCCAGAACCATGAGCACAGTTTGTAGTGTTAGAGGAGTCGTCGCTCAGGCAGCTTTACACGGAGCCTGCAGGGTGACGTCCGAAGATCAGTTTTTTACTGTGGCCACGGGTTGATTAATACGCAGATGTAGCACGGTCCAGAGAATCTGGTCATTATTTCCTGCTCAGTGTTTCCCTCAAATATACTAGTTTCTTACTAAGTATTACTGTTAAAATATTTATTAGCAGTACCAGAAAACATCGTCTTACTATAAAACTCACAATGAGTTAATTTATTTGAACGGGGACAGTTCACCTTCGATCAGCATCAGATCAATATGAATGTGCCAGATTTTTCCAAGAAGGCTCATTTTCGTCTGTAGCCCCGGAGCAGGTTGATGTTAACCACAGAAACAGATGACATCAGCAGCTGCTGGATGTGTGTTAATGACAGGATGAGCCAGGTTGTGTAACACACGCTCACCCGGTGCGACTGGCTGCTCCGACCGAGCTTGGCTGCTAGTGAGGACAGTGGCACAGCCAGGTTTCTGTGTGGGGTGATCACACCATCTATGGTTCAAAACATTTCAGTACCAGTGTTGTCATGAGGAAGCAAGGAAAGGAAGGGAGGGAAGGGAACGAGAGTCTGAGCAGTGCACTCAGCTTCTTGATTGGCCGGCTTGGCTGCCAGTTGTGTGGTTTGGTTGTCAGGTTTGTGATTGTGGTGTTTGATTGGCAGAGTCAGCTGTCAGTCTGCCCAGCTCAGCCCTCTGATTGGCAGGTTAATGTCGTGTTGTTAATTCTCAGAAAGTCCAAGTCTGAGGTCTTCACACACTGAGGGACTGTAAACTGATGTGCGAATTAAGACAACTCTGTTTGTCTGAACACCACTTTTGTGACAAACAGAAAACTTCTTCTACTGTCACCATCTTCCCTCTCTTCTCGATGACCCCTCCCCCTAACTGTCCCGTAATCAGTTTGAAGTGGCCAAATAACCAATTAAATGGTCGTAGTCCTCCAACACTCCTCTTGTTGCTACTGCCATAATCTCTGTGTGTGGTGAATTAAAGCTTTTTACATTCAGGTTTTGATAAAAGTTAATGAAGCTGCTTTTTCTGTCCATGCTGTCCTTCAGCAGACGGAGGTCAGCCACTCATCGAATGGCTCCTAAATCATCAGGATGCATTAGAGGATGTTTAAGCTTGATTTGGATTTGAAATCTGATGCTGATGCATCTGCTGATACTCAGTGTTTAACAGAAACACAGGGTAGTTTATTAACATTGAGGGGGTGTGGGGAGAGTCTGCACAGCGAGCTTACTGAAAGGATGAGGATTCTCTCTGTTTGTATTACTCCCCACCAACCCCGTCCAGAGACCAGCAGCACCAGTGGACGTGGTGTGTGAGTCCAGACCCTGGTCCAGCTCATCGCTCTGTGCAGTAGACCTCCACTGTTGTCCACCAGCTATTAGACCCCCCCCCAGTGAGCCACACCGCTGCACTGGGGGGCAGGTTTCCTCCTCAGGAAACATGGGAGGCATCTGTGTTTCCAACAAACAGAGCCACTGCTCTCTGCTCTGGTTCCACCACCTGCTCCTCACTGCACAGAGCAACGTGTTGGAGCTGGTTGTCGGAAACAGTCGGGGCTCCCAGGAGTCAAAAAATGAGAAGTAAATTATTCACAGAACCTTTAAAATTGTCTTTCTCCCCTCGAAGGCCAAGTTGGGTTTTTGATGCTTTATTTAAAGTAGTTTTTCTTTAAACAGTTACAAAAATGTCTAGCAATGATCAACACACGTCAACCAGCAGCACGAAGAAAGAAAACAGGGTGTATCAGAAATGTAATAAATAAAAGGCTCACTCTGGTGTTCCTTCATCTTGTTCTCTGTGTACAGACCCACAATGTGTTGGTCTGAGTGTGAGTAGTTTAACTGTGTAGGCTCAGTCATGTCTGAACTGATGTGGGTCCGTGGACAGGCTCAGATCATTGACACTAACTCTGTCTCCATTTGTGTTTATCTGTCCTGGACCCCACCACCGATCCTGGTTGTCCTGCTCGTTGTAAAACCGCCCGACCTGCTGCTGCTTCCATCACTGCTCCATCTGTTCCTGCTGCCTCTTCATCTTCTTCTTCTGTCCGTCTGCATGTCCGCTGTCTGTGGATCCTTTGTTTGAACACAATGAATGCATATCCTCAATGTTGAGTTAATGATGCATCGTCCGTCACTAATCTCCATTCTTCCTCGCCCTGAACGTGGCTGTGCATCTCTTTGCTGTCCACTGCGCCTTCTATCCTTCTACCTTTCATTATCTCTTTCCCCTCCGTAATCCCTCCTCCCCTCATCCTCCTCTTCCATCCTTTTCTCTCCCGTCCTGTGGTGCATCATGTGACATGTAGGCTTCTACAACCTGGATGAGTCTGACCTGGACAAGGTGTTCCGCCTGCCGACCACCACCTTCATCGGAGGCACAGAGGCCGCCCTGCCACTCAGAGAGATCATACGGCGACTGGAGGTAAACACACACGACACATTAGGGGTGGCTGAAAAAATCTGCCACAAGGTGACAGTTCAGCTGGCGGACAGCACAGAGCGCGCACACACAGTAGAGCTGTTGTGTTAGTTCGTCTCCACAAAACAAATCATTTACCCAGTGAGCTCTGTGGTTGTGTAGGATCACGAGCATGTGTTTTGTATAACTGGGCGAGGTGTCATATGTTGTAACCAGTATGTTCTAATGGGGTGTCTCCTGCTGAGTGGAACTTCTTAGGATGCAAATTGAGTTTCAGTGAAAAAGCTGACAAAGTATCATATAATCAGTCCTGAGCCTGGTTTCTGTCTAAAGAGCCTGGCTGAGTCAGTAGGTTGATGCAGCTGTGGCCACCTGAGAGGGAAAATGCTTTGTCGGGGTGTCTTTGTTTCACTCCAACACTGACTCGAGCCTGTGCTGCTGCTGCAGATGGCGTACTGTCAGCACATCGGGGTGGAGTTCATGTTCATCAACGACCTGGAGCAGTGTCAGTGGATCCGAGAGAAGTTTGAGACTCCGGGAGTGATGCAGTTCACTCTGGAGGAGAAGAGGACGCTGCTGGCCCGAATGGTCCGCTCCACCAGGTACCCACCAGGAGAGCCCCACCTCCAGCTGCTCCTCTGGCTGATGAGGTGTAAACACACTGCTGTGTGAGGAGTCCGAGTGTACACACGTTTATCTGACCACAGTAAGGCTCGACAATCAGGATCAGGGGAAAATCATTTGATTGTGCTGTTTTTTTAAAACAAATATTGTGATTGCTGTTTAATATGCGATTTTTTTTTTTTTTTTTTGAGTTCACACACGTCTGTAACACCAGCAGCACAGTGGACTGTCCCACAGCCAGAGCACCAGCCAGAGCACTGATACTCTTGACTGTAGCGCGGTACGGAAGATGCCGTGCTGGCAGGTGTAGTCCTTCAGATGCTAGGAATAAATCACTGATTAACTTTGTGCAGCTCATGAAGGCTCCAGCTTCTAACAGCTGCAGCTGTACTGGGCAGAGATTTGTCTTCAGAGGAACACACTGTGTTTCCTCACACAGACCAAGAGAACATGTTGAATGAGCAACTGCACTGAGTCACTGCAGCCGATGGAGGTTAGCTCGCATGTGACATCATGACTGTGTGTGTGTGTGTGGACGAGTTTTTCCTGCTACGTGGGGACTTCTTCCTGACTCCATACCAACTCATGAGGACCCATTTCACAGTGGGGACCTAAATTGAGGTCCCCATGGGCAAGAAATTGAATTTTAGGGTGGCAACATGGTTTAGTGTTAGGATGAAGGGTTAGGGTTAGGTTAAGGGAATGGGTCAGGGTTAGGGTTAGGCAAGTAGTGGTTCTGGTTAGGGTTAGTCTACAGGAAATGCATGTAAGTCTATGTAAAGTCCCCATGGACTACGAAACATAAACTGTGTGTGTGTGTGTTCAGGTTTGAGGAGTTCCTGCAGAAGAAGTGGTCTGCAGAGAAACGATTTGGTCTGGAGGGATGCGAGTCTCTGGTACCTGCTCTGAAGACCATCATTGATAAGTCCTCTGAGAACGGCGTGGACTACGTCATCATGGGCATGCCTCACAGGTAGCAGACGCAGATACATGGATACAATTTGTGCACACGTACATACAGGTGGGTGACTCATTAAAGGACAAACTAATACATTTCACCTGCCAGTGACAGAGAGGGTTTGTGTGTGTTGAATTTGTTGTTCACAAAACACTAGAATTCTCATCCAAGCATATAAACAGACGCTGTATGTTTGAGGCGACTGCGTATCGGCAGTGACTTACAGGCTGGTTCTCAGAGGAATCGGTGTTTGCACTTTGGGAAACTGTTTTGGCAGCTCGATGTTTCCTCCCTCCAGCAGAGGAGCACTGAAGCTGCTCTGGAGCCGTGGCACCAACAAGTCTCTGGTGGTCACCGTGCGCTGGTTGTTACTTTCCATATGTCACCCAGCTGCACACACTGCCCACACACTCAGGCTCTGTTGTCCCTACCTGTTGTTTCTGCTCTAACCGCTGCTCTCTGTGTTTCAGGGGTCGTCTGAATGTTTTGGCCAACGTCATCCGTAAAGAGCTGGAACAGATTTTCTGCCAGTTTGACTCCAAACTGGAAGCTGCGGATGAGGTATCTGAACTGCTCTCTGTGCCGTTACTTCTAACACAGGTAGTCTTTCTGCATGGATTTTCACAGTATGAGGAGTTTAACACCAGATTAAAGGAGACACTGACTTGAGGAGACCTGTGGACAATCTGAGTCACACTGACACTCCACTGACGTTTGGATTTGCACGCTGCTCACGGCACTCTCCTCCTCCCCTAGTTTTCAGTGTAGGCTTAGTGAGTGTTAGTTTGCCTGTGTTAGTTTGTATGTGTGTCCTTGTTTCCTTTGTCAATACCTTTTGTGTCCTGTGACACACATTCTTGTAGACACCAAATTATTTACTAGAGCTGTTTCATAACATGTCATATGATTTGGTTATATCACATGATAACATACCAGTTTACCATGTTTTAATGAGATCTACATATACAGTGATACACTGAATGTGAATCAGTGCCGGAGCTGCGACCCGGCTCTACACTGGTCTCATCTGAAACAGACTGACCTCACTGTGGCTTCCTCCTCAGGGCTCTGGAGATGTGAAGTACCACCTGGGTATGTACCATCGCCGTATCAACCGTGTGACGGACAGGAACATCACCATGTCTCTGGTGGCCAACCCGTCTCACCTGGAGGCTGTCGACCCCGTGGTGCAGGGGAAGACCAAGGCTGAACAGTTCTACTGTGGAGACAACGACGGCAAAAGGGTGAGTCGTCCCAGCCAGCAGCATCACAACAATGGGCCTCAATCAGTAATATGTGTAGAAATGATCTTACCTTGCACACAAGGTGCATAGTTTATTGGATCAGAATCAGTCTAAGGCTCGTACCCGCAATGTGCAGTTTGCATACTGCCACGCTCCCGTTTCTCTGTGTAAGGAAATGGGTTTGGTACCTGGCAGAGAAAGCAGTGAAGCTGCAGGAGAGAAGCAGGACCGGACTTCAACCTGGGCATGTGTCGAGTGAGAGTGGTGCTCGGCGACTAAGATTCTGTTCCAGGGAACCTCATAGCCTGTCAGGAACAGCTGAGAAACCACTCATCACCCTCTTCAAACATGTTTTGTCAGCCTGTGGAGATGCGCTCCCTCCTGAATGAACGTGCATCTTCCATCAAGGCTCCATGTGCCTTCTTAACACTGGCATGGAGCTAAATCAGAATTGTTCGGGCTTCATGTCCTGCACAGCTTTTAATGAACTGCTAGTTAACACTGTCTACCTGTGCATGGTATCATGGCACTAGGGATCGGTGGGAGCAGCTGATCATATTGGACCAAGTCAATGAAACTGTGAAAAACAGCAGTGTTACATTTCAATAGGGACAGTATACTCGTATATACCCTCATATACACATAAGGCGGGACTGGGACGGTTGAATGTTTTAATGATGAGACTGAAAGGGCATCAATTTTCTTTAATTAAAGCCTTAAATTATATTAATTATCTGAGCTATTAAAGGATTTTAATGAATGTGGTGTGTGTTTACATTTTTAAGACCCTCATTGTCTGACACATGTTCTGAGGCAGTTTGAGATTTGTTCACCAAATTAAGACAAATTCATAAATCGCCATTTTGTAGGTGCAGTTTAGTCACAGCTTTGTGCACAGTGTTTGTGAATGAGGCCCGTTTTACTGAAGGAGCCAGAGCCGTCTACAACCACCGCTCACATGTTGCAGTGGGCCATTCCACGTGTCAGGAGGGACCTCCGGGATAATCTTACTCACGCAGCAACATAAATACAATACGGTGTTGGGTTTTGGTCCGTGATCTAAGGGGTGTCTGTCTGTCTTCAGGTCATGTCCATCCTGCTCCATGGAGACGCAGCGTTTGCAGGTCAGGGTATTGTCTATGAAACATTCCACCTGTCTGACCTGCCGTCATACACTACACACGGCACCGTGCACGTCGTCGTCAACAACCAGGTAACAAACACGCAGGAAACACCAAACATTAAACCCTCAGATACATGAGGGAGGCTGTGAGCCGTAACCTCCCTGTCCTCATGTTTCCAGATTGGCTTCACCACAGATCCTCGTATGGCTCGCTCATCTCCGTATCCTACTGATGTGGCTCGAGTCGTCAACGCTCCCATCTTCCATGTCAATGCCGACGACCCCGATGCTGTCATTTACGTCTGCAAGGTGGCCGCTGAGTGGAGAGCCACATTTCACAAGGACGTGGTGGTCGACCTGGTCAGTGCACAGCATCTGTGATATCCCTGTAAAGGCTGACTGTGAGCATTCAAATGAGACGCACGTTTACATTTGTGTTTTTGTGTGCGCACAGGTGTGTTACCGTCGCATGGGTCACAACGAGATGGACGAGCCAATGTTCACTCAGCCGCTGATGTACAAACAGATCAAGAAGCAGAAGCCTGTTCTGCAGAAGTACGCAGAGAAGCTGATCGCAGAGGGAGTTGTGAGCAGGCAGGAGTACGAGGTAACGCACAGAGGAAAGACATGTAGCCAGGTGGCTCTGCAGCTGAGCCTCGGTTCGCCTCCCCGGCACAGCTCCGCCTGCTGGGATCCCTGAGCTGTGCCAGGTCTCTGCTGGACTCACCGCAGCTCAGCTGTTGCCACTAAAAGCTTCCTACTGGTGAACCGGCAGGAGGCTTTTATTGTGAAATATTATGTTAGTGAGTTAGCAGAGCTTCATTAGTGAAACTAAACCAGGTTTACACAGTGAGATAAAGGGAGATTTAGTGCTCTTTAAAAGTGGTGGAACGTAATTAAGTACATTTAGTCACATACTGTACTTAAGTACAATTTTGAGGTATTTGTACTAGAGTATTTCCATTTTATGATTCTTTATACTTCACTGCTGCTTGTACTTAAATGACCGGACTGAGTTCGGTGGTTGTGCTGTTTAGCCAGTGGATCAGTGGCATGTCGGAGGACGGCGTGCAGCCAGGCCGTAGAGCGGTTTGTTAAAGCAGCACACCTCCAACATGTCACCACGGTAAACAGCTTCTGACCTCACCTCCCCTGTCCTGACAGGGGTTAGTGCCTTCCTGTTCCTAGTAACAATCCAGAGAAGACTGTGTTACTGGCTCTGTGAGATGTTCATGTGCAGAGTGAACCCACTCCCTACCTGTCTGCAGGAGGAGATCGCCAAGTATGATAAGATCTGTGAGGAGGCGTACGCTCGCTCCAAGGATGAGAAGATTCTCCACATCAAGCACTGGCTGGACTCCCCATGGCCTGGTGAGGGGGGGGGCTGTTTCCTCTGGGGCAATGTTAGATGTTGTGAGGATCGGCTCTGGTCCAAACTGTTGATCTGTTGTCGTCAGGTTTTTTCACTCTGGACGGACAGCCCAAGTCCATGAGCTGCCCCTCCACCGGTCTGCCCGAAGAGGATCTGAACAACATCGGACTGGTGGCCTCATCGGTCCCTGTGGAGGACTTCACCATGAAGATTCTCCGCATCAAGCACTGGCTGGACTCCCCATGGCCTGGTGAGGGGGGGGGCTGTTTCCTCTGGGGCAATGTTAGATGTTGTGAGGATCGGCTCTGGTCCAAACTGTTGATCTGTTGTCGTCAGGTTTTTTCACTCTGGACGGACAGCCCAAGTCCATGAGCTGCCCCTCCACCGGTCTGCCCGAAGAGGATCTGAACAACATCGGACTGGTGGCCTCATCGGTCCCTGTGGAGGACTTCACCATCCATGGAGGTCTGACACAGCTCATCGGCCATTTAGCCACTAATTGCATTCATGTATACAGGACATATGCAAGGCAGAAGAAACTTGGTACTTGCTGACTGTATTTGTTTAGGTCTGAGTCGAATCCTGAAGGGTCGAGCTGAGATGGTCCGTAACCGGACAGTGGACTGGGCGCTGGGAGAGTACATGGCCTTTGGGTCGCTGCTGAAGGAGGGGATCCACGTTCGGCTGTCGGGACAGGACGTCGAGCGAGGGACCTTCAGGTAACCCCTTCTGTGCTGAGGGCTTCTCATCACCTTGTATCAAACCTCCTCGCTCCTATAACTGAAAACATTGTATGTCTCTTTTCAGCCACCGTCACCATGTCCTTCATGACCAGAATGTGGACAAGAGGATCTGTATTCCCATGAACCACCTGTCTCCAGACCAGGCGCCATACACCGTGTGCAACAGCTCACTGTCCGAGTACGGAGTCCTTGGTCAGTCCCCGCCCTCTTTGGCTCGCACCCTGCGCTGCTCTCTCTGGACCACATGTATTAACTTGTGTGTCTGTAGGTTTTGAGCTGGGTTTTGCAATGGCGAGTCCCAACGCTCTGATCCTGTGGGAGGCCCAGTTTGGAGATTTCCACAACACGGCCCAGGGCATCATTGACCAGTTCATCTGTCCCGGTCAGGCCAAGTGGGTGAGACAGAACGGCATCGTGCTGCTGCTGCCACACGGCATGGAGGGCATGGTGAGGCTTGCATACCGTCATCCGTCAGACGTCACAGCTGAGGCTCAGCGCAGGCCACTGACGGTGACCTCACGCTGTAGGTTAGAGGTCACAGTTTAAACAGATGGAGTGAACAGGCAGTTTGTGGTATTGCTCCTGTAGACCATCTGTAGGTTTCACTGAACTCATCACGTCATCAGTCTGAGGAGGCGACAGGACAATCTCAGTCAGTATCAGTAAAAGTACACACTGTACTCTATGTTAGTCACGTCCTCTGTGATTCGGTGTTGTAGGAATCATCCCAAGATGAATGTAAATATTTCCTGCATGTTACACAGAACCTTCTGTGACGGGGGTGAACATCTCCACCTGCAGGTTTTACTCATGACACTCTTGGTTTATTGAATATTTAACGTGCATTCATCTCGGTGGCTTCAGATTTGAGGGTGTGTGAAGCTTTTTACTGTTTGTGTTTCAGGGTCCAGAACATTCTTCAGCTCGTCCCGAGAGATTCCTCCAGATGTGCAACGACGACCCAGATGTCATGCCGGTAAGACCTACACACCAGTTCTTTATCATCACACGCTGTAACCAGGCTGCAGCTCAGAAACTGGTTTCTTCCACGTTTCTCTGTCTCTGCAAGCAAATCAGTTTTATTGTTCAGCCAACCTGATGTCACTTTGACTTGAATTCACCTGTTTTTCATCTCTTTATTAGACATGAGAGGGCAAATGAAAGACGGTGTGTGTTGGGTTTAACCACATCAGTATGAAGTATATCTGCACATGACAAAACCAAATAAGACAGACAAAACTGGCAGGTTCATGAGCCGGAGCTCAGTTTAATGTCATTTACATCCTGGGACTCTGCTGAGTGAGAGGCTGACCCGAGGAGCCTCTGACTCACTGGACTGGAGTTTAGTTATTAGATTATATACTTTTATGTTGTTTACTTATTTTATTTGTATTAATTTGTGGTATTCCTTGTGGTCCGCTCCATTTTTATCATCCCGTGTGTTGTCCATCTCTTGTAAAGCACTTTGCATTTGGCTTGTGTGACAGGTGCAGTATAAATAAAACATGGCTGACTGATTATTAAACATGCGTCTCCTCTCAGAACATCACCGAGGACTTTGCCGTGCGTCAGCTCTACGACTGCAACTGGATCGTAGTGAACTGTTCCAACCCTGGAAACTACTTCCACGTCCTCAGACGACAGATCCTGCTGCCGTTCAGGAAGCCTGTAAGACGCACACACACATGTTGGACTCCTGGTCGTCTGTGTGTGGCCTCAGGGTTGCTTTGAACTTTATCCCAAAAACAAACTGATGTGTGGTGTGAGCGGAAGAAAAAGACCCAGCAATGAAGGAATTCTGAGACCTGAAGAGCAGGCTGTAGATATTAATGTTAACAGTGTGTCGGCGGCATCGCCGGGAGGTTCCCGACTAATCTAAAATAAAAGCCTTCATGTTCTAGACAGAGATGAACCATGTCTGTCGCTGGGTCTGTTCACTGCCTTATTCATCAGAAGCAGCATTATGGTACTACTGCCAAATAATAAGAGACACGGAAATAAAGAAATAAGTGGGAATATAATAAAATCAAAGTATTGGACTTGAGAACCTGGTTTATACTGAATATAAAATACACAGATGATATGTCTCAAACATACAGCTCTAACCTGAGGTTCATGACATGATCAGCACTGACTCTCTGCTCCATAAAGTTATTTTTATTTTCAAAGCATGCTGATCTTCCTGTTTGTCTGCAGCTGATCGTCTTCACTCCCAAGTCTCTGCTGCGACTCCCAGAGGCCCGATCCAGCTTCGACGATATGCTGCCTGGTAACACTATGTAGTTATGTGCTATTAGTTCTCAGAGGACAAGTGCTCAGCCTGACCCTGACTCTCCTCCTCCTCCTCTCCCCTGTGTAGGAACTCACTTCCAGAGGTTGATCCCAGAAACAGGAGCAGCACTGGAGCGTCCCGAGGAGGTGAAGAGGCTGATCTTCTGCACAGGGAAGGTTTACTATGAGCTGACCAAAGAGAGGAAAAGCAGAGACATGGAGGGGACTGTGGCCATCGTACGCATGGAGCAGGTACAGCAACAGCCTGTGTGTGTGTGTGTGTGCACGCGTGTGCGCCCGTGCATTTAAGGTATGCTGGTACGACCTGTCACTCTGAAGTCCACAAAAGGCAGGCAACATCTTGTGAGTTTGACCTGTTGTGCAGTAACGTTAGAGTCTACACCAGCGAACGTTAATAGACAAAGTTCTTCCTGCGGAAAAACAAAAGAAGAGTTCGATCAGTTGAAGATTCGGGGCTGATTGGCAAATACAAAAAGTAATAGCTGTAATATCATTTCAGGGGAGAGTAGCTAGGACTTTAAACCGACAAACGCTCCTGACCTTGACTTTGTCCCTCTCACTCCCCCTCCTCACCCCAGTTGGCTGGTTCCTCATATGAGGACGGCTCTTTGAACTCCTTCATAAAGGTAGAAGGACAGGAGAAGAGTGGAGACTGTGATTTTAGCTAACTTAAAGTTAGCCTTGCATTACAGATGTGTATCTATGCGCCACATGTCCACATGAACATCTCTCAAACTAACTTTCCAGAAATTTTTGCAACATGTGCACTTGCCTTCGTTTCAGCTGGAGAAAGTTAGTTTGGGAGATGGTCATGTGTCCACATCTCCAGACTCCACCCCTGTGCATTCTGCAGTAGTTACTCATATTGATACCAGGGATCGGTACATTAATAGCTGAGCATCAAACGATGGCCGTTTTCACAGCAGTGTTTTTATGTACTGACACATGCCAGTTCCTCTGGGACTGTCAAGCACAGGATGGTTCTCATTGAGGTCGATGCACGAGTCTCCCGGTCGACTCCGACATCCGGAAGTGCTCCTTCAGGCAGTTTCAGGGAGGCGGTCGGGTCCGGTCATCTGGAACGCAGCGCTTGTGTCAGGCTGCTGTGTTGTGTCTCCATCTGTCACAGTGCAACACAAAATGTGCCTGTCGGTTCATGTGTGAGGTAAACTGACCACAATGAGGTCTCTCTCCCTGCAGCTGTCCCCGTTCCCATTCGACCAGGTGAAGGCCGAGACGGAGCGTTTTCCCAACGCTGACCTCGTCTGGTGTCAGGAGGAGCACAAGAACCAGGGCTACTATGACTACGTGAAGCCTCGCATCAGGACCACCATCCAGAGAGCCAAGCCCGTCTGGTACTCGCCTTCATCATCATCATGCGTCACTTTTTAAGTTGCATGTCGATAGTACTGTGTAGCTCTGCGTGGGACTCGGTCTCGCTGCAGATGTTTTCATCTGGTTCAGTGTCTGTGACCGACTCGGTGGTTCCTACCAACCAGAGACTGCTCTGACATTCTGCTGGGTCACTCACAGTGCTGTAGCTACATATAGATGTTATGCTGTTTAATGATCGGTCCATGATAGTTTGGAGTGAGTGCATTTGACCTTTGACCTCTGTGTGTGTGTGTCAGGTACGCTGGCAGAGAACCAGCAGCAGCTCCAGCTACAGGAAACAAAAACACTCACCTGATGGAGCTGCGGCGTTTCCTGGATACCGCCTTCGACCTGGATGCGTTCAAGGATCGGCAGTAACCCCTGGAGGAACCTCAATTGTCTCATCTTTGACCCCGACCCTCCTGGATTCACACCGCACCATCAACACACACACACACACACACACACGCACACAAGCCACTGCCCACCGAGTACACACACTGTACTACTGCTTACTGTGGTCTGTAAGTACTCTGTCTACTAAGTACCAAAGTAATACATAGATTCTTCTTACTAGTCAGTAGATACTGCACAGTCTGCACACACTGTGCTTTACCAAGAAAGCAGTACATAAGTACTGCATGCTACATAGAGTATTCCACCAGGTTTACTGTCAGTTGTATCACAGTGGTTCCAGTTTACTGACTGAAGTTACTGAGTTTTGACAAAAACAAATTGTTTTTTCAGCAGAAGTAGCAGTTTGACACCTTTTAGTTCTTTGTTTCACACTGTGGTACAGTTTACTACAGTTTACTGCCACTGTAGTGTACTCTCAGCATTAGTACACAGTGACAAGGCTGTCACTTAACTTAAATGCGGACCGGTGTTCACACACGAGAAAAATGTCAACAGTGTGTTGATTTTTATTTTTATGATCAATTAAATGGTTTTTTGCTTAATTAATTAATTGATTGATTGGGTCAATAAATTGTCAGAAAATAGTGAAATATTGTCCAAACAAAGTCCATGGTGACGTCGGGTCAGCACAGTCAGACTCCTGTGGATAAAGCACAGGGCGTCCCACTGGAGGAGCTGGAACCAAATCCTCTGTCACAGTGTGCAGTATCAGTACTGTGTGTACTCTGTCCAGTGCTACAGCAGCTTCAGGCTCCACCAGCAACTTTCTTGGCCACGATTTGCCTCAACGTGCTGCTTTTATACACACAGTAAGAAAAGGTTTGGACTGAGCACTCGCACAGGTGCAACGTCTCCAAGTCTCAGGACAGAGAAGTTTTAACTCTGGAAAATGTAAAACATGGTTTTCATGAAGCAAAAGAAAAAGCTGTTAAATGTTCGAAGATTGATTCAAACAGAGCGGCAGATTCTTGGCAGGAAATCGATGAAAACAGATGATGGTTTTGGAGGAAAAACAGTCCAATCCAGTCTGTGCTGAGCCATTCAGGAACTTGATCTGAACAAAGTCCGGTCTAAAATTGGCAAATTTCTGAATGAAGTCTGGTACCATCGGGCCAGATTTTCAAATTTCATACTTGGACAGTTTGAGAAACATATCAGTTTGTTTTCAGAAAGTGCTGAGATTTGACCCCCAGCCCTCCTGTAGAGCTGACCAACAACATGAGGCAGCTTTTAGGGCCAACACAGGCTCGTGGCAGCTTGTCAGAAGTTTCTCTGCTGAGACAACTGTTCAGGCAACACTGGTCCTGAAAAGGTTGAGTCAGAGCAGCTGGTGGAGTGGAGCCTGAACCTGACCTCTGAACACCGGCCTCGGTCCATGCACACACACACAAACACTCCTCCATCAGGTCAGCAGGAGTCTCAGAAACCATATCTCCTCATATTGTTTCTCCTCTGTATTTTGCCGTCATCATCATCATCATTACGCCTTCCTCCCACACCTCATCATACCCAGAAATCACGCTTTCTTCGCCTGTCACAGGAAACATTAAATTTTTTGTTTTTATGTAAAGGCTCATTAGCGCTCCCCATTGAAAACAAATAGCAGGCTGTAATTTTTGAGGGTCCCATGTGTTTGCTTAAGGACTGTCAGTAATTAGTCACCACGGCAATGCTTAACTGCACACGTATATTTAATTATAGCTGTCTTTTATTTTGAAAGGAATGAAATGTCTGAGGTCTGTGCTATCAGGCATCCCCACATCAACTCAGCCATGTGGGCAGCTGATTATAATTCAACCTCTCATCCCTCTGTCTTCTCTCTCTCTCTCTCTCTCTCGAGCATTTACCCCGTGCCAAAATGGATCGCAGCATGTTTTTATTGTGTTTAGCAGAAGGAACTGTGACAGCGGGAAGCACCCAGCAGAAGAAGTCGGCTGCAGGAAGTGTCCTGGGCTTCCATCACACAAAGGAAATGATTTATTTATTTTCATAATAGGGGAGTGAAATTCTCTTCATGATTTTGCTTCATTCAATAAAGAATACTGTATGTACTGAACAGCTGCTGTTTGATTGGTTTTGTAGCTTGCTATTGAATTTTTTCCAATTTGTGTGTGAAATCCCAACATACACATGTAAAAGAAAATCAGCAACATGTTTGCTCTCTGAGACGACATGAAAGAAAATTTGGACACAATGAGGTTATATGTTTTGGAAGAAGTCTGAATTGAGTTGTTCTAACCCTGTGACATTTAGTCCGTTCTCTTTTTCTAACGGCACATCTATAGATGTAGCTTTCAAACTCAAACCTCCATTTCACTCATTTATGAAACCTTGTTTCTGCAAACTATTAATCTCATGTTCATGGCTTATGTGATGCTCTGGCAAAAACCACAAGCCATTAACCAAACCCTGTACAATTATTTGAGCATTTAAATATCACGGAATGTTAGTTTTTTCCAAAAAAAAAAAA